CTGGGTATGGTCCTGCACAGGGGCTGGGTATGGTCCTGCAGGCTGGGGTAAGATGGAGGAAGAGCTCCCTGGAGCTGATGGCATCTGAATTTTATTTCCAGAGGATGGAAGAGAGGGATCTGAGGAGGGCAAAGTTGAAAGAAAAGAAGGAACAGAGACAGACCGAGGCTCTACTCCAGGCCATCAAGGTGAGTTCTCAGAGTATAGCCAAGTGTATGAAGTCCCCTGGCTGTGGAAACCTGCCGGGAGCCTTCCTTGGGATGCTTTTTCTTCATGACTGTGCCTACCCAGGCTCTGGAGTCAGACCACCGCGTCCAGTTAGCTCGGCCCCTGCCTTTGCTGGTCTCAGCAACAAACTGAGTGTGTGCTCTGGGCTAATCATCCTCTCGTCCCATTTTCTCAGCAGCCATCTGGGGAAGGCTTTCCTCTTCCTGCTTTACTCGTTTTAGATGCGAAGACCTCACACAGCTCAGGGTGTCAGCGCCTGGCCTTTCTCTTGACTATAACTTATGTTACAACTGAGAAAGCCACAGTTGTAGGATATTGTTCTAACTAATGGCAATAAAATCCTCCCTGTCCAGCATTCTGAAGTGAGTGTAGTCCAGGAGGCCCAGTGGCCAAGCCAGTTAGTGCTTGGTTCCTACATGAAGAGAGCGTGTCTGACTCACGTTTCTTTCATCCTTGACAGCCGACTAATCTCCCAGTTGATCTTGCTCTGTCTTTACAGGGAGATGATGCCTCCTGGGCTGAGGTTGTAGTTTCTTTCTGTGTTCACTGAAGTTATGCACCCATTTTGATTATTAACTTTGAGAACTTAACACTGCTAAGGTGTACCTCACTTGTCTCTCCCAACAAGCAATCTGTTAACACATATTAACAAGTTAAATATGGGGGCTGGAGTGGTCAAGATCCCTGGTTGTTCTTCCAGAGGACCCAGGTCCATCCCCAGCACCCACATAGCAGCTCACAACTGTCTATAACTCCAACTCCAGGGGATCTGACACCCTTACACAGACACACATATGGGTGAAACACCACATAAATAAAATTTAAAAAAAAATTAGACTGGGCACGTGACACATGCCTTTAATCCCAGCACCTGGGAGCAGGTGACAGGAGGATCAGAAAGTCAAGGCCAGCTCTGGTTCCAGGAGACTGTCTCAGAAAGAGAAAAGAACAGGTTTGCCCACTCCTACTTTAGGGGATATCATCATAGCTAATTTTGATGTCCCCAGATGTGCTAACCTTAGAAAGCTAGCACACGTTAAGAGATGGCCCCACTCCGGAGACCCGTGGTGGATCTTCACGTCAGTAAGGCAGTCAGGATGAAGTCAAGCTTTTATTTCTAGCATCCTATGTGCTTATCAAGGGAAGCATTTGCATTCCTGGACCACTGCACGCTTGCCCTGTTCTGTGCCTCTGCATGAGCATTCTCCACCTTTCAGAGCCACTCTCCAGCTCTACGTCTACCATCCGCTGCGACTGTTCCATAGCTGCTTCCTCTAGACCAGAGACAGCTCTGAGGGCAGGGAACCATGTCCACCTCCTCTGGATGCAGGGCCAAGCACACCACAGATGCCTAGTGAAGTTAAACAAGCGGTGCCTACTGTGTGCCAGGCCGCCAGGACAGTTAGGATGGACCGTGCGTGGAGCTGGCCCTCAGGAAGCTTCTATGGCTAGGGTGTATTTCAGTGATGTGTGTTCGCATCTTCCTACATAAGGTCTGTGCCTGGGTTTTTGTCTTCATCCAGGCTAGGAACATCAGGCTTGTCTCGGAAGCGGTGGTTAAGGATGAAGATTCAGCCTCCAATGGTCCAACTGAGATCATCCTGAATGGGCTCAGCTCTGAGAACCCTGGTGGAGCCAGGCTAAGTCTAAATAATCAAGGCAGGCTGAGCTGGCCTGTGCTGTTCCTGTACCCAGAGTATACGCAGTCTGACTTTGTCGCTGCCTTTCATGAGGATTCCAGGTACACACTCCAGCAGCTCTCCACTTCTGCTCAAGTGCTCCTCCTGCTGGCATGCCAGGGAGTAATTCAGAGTCACCCCCTAGCAGGTTGCCGGGCTTCTCCATTGTGAATCTGGTGACTCTGTGTCAGCACAGGGCTTGTCTTGTCACTGTCTGGTGGGTCATCTTAGGTAGTACATGCGTATAGTGTAAGTGTGTGTTTATTACAAAAGATACAGATCGCATCATTTGACTTGTGATTTCAAAGCGTTAATGCTTAGAAAGATTATGTCTTAGACAAGTGTCTAGCCTTCATATTTTGGCGCTGTTGTCTCAGTGGGTTAAGCCTGAATGTCATGCTTTATACATCACCTTTCTCTCTGAATTGGTGTCCAGGGACTGATGTGGGGATGTAGATGGAACATTGATACCCAGAAAGCACTTCTTCCTCCCGTAGGTTTGTTGACCATCTCAAGGTGATGTTTAGTGAAGCACCCTCCTGGGACTCAGAGCAGAAATACTACCTGGATAATTTGGAGGTAAGAAAAGTTCTGTTTCGTTCCTCTGAGGGAGTTGGGGAGAGTGCATACAGAAATTGAGTGTTTTTAAAATGTGTGTGTGTGATTTGCCACAGCACATGTGGAGGTCAAAGGGCAACTTTGGGGCGCTGGCTTTCTCCCCTGTAGGTTCTGGGGATTGAACTCAGGCCATCAGCCTTGTCCATCAAGAGCTTTTACACACTGAACCATCTCACTGACCCTTGAGTGATTACAATTTTCTTGGTAAAATATACATTATATAACACTCACATTTTAGGCCCACAGTTGAGTGACATTTTCAAGCTCCTCACACTATTAAATGCCCATTACCACTTTCCCTCTCTATAACGTTCCATTTTCCTAAACTGAGACACTGAACTCATCAAACATCAAACAGAAATGTCCTCTACCCCTGCCCTTGGGTGTGTTCTACTTCCTTTCTCTATGAACGTGGGACCACACAGACACAGAAGTCATACAGTGTCTGGCTTACTTCGCTTAGCGTAGTGTCTTCAAGGTTCAACCATAGTCTAGAATGAGCCATATTGTAGCATATGTGAGCCTTCCTTTGTAAGGAAGGGTTTCTCTTGTGTAGCTTTGCGCCTTTCCTGGAACTCACTTGGTAGCCCAGGCTGGCCTCGAACTCACAGAGATCCGCCTGCCTCTGCCTCCCAAGTGCTGGGATTAAAGGCGTGCACCACCACCGCCTGGCTTAGAATTTTTAAAATAAAATATAACCAGAGTTTACTGAGTAAATGAATTGTTTCCTGAATATTTGAGAGGGAGACACCACATGTTTTCCAGCAACCTTGAATTACTTTTGTACATGTTTTCTGTAGACAATGACACTCTTCATGATCTCAAAAGAGCTATCAAGGTCAGGAAACTAGCCTTGATTGCTGACTGCAGTCTTATCCTCAGGCTCCATTCAGGGTCCACAGATTGTCCCAGGAAGGTTCCTTTTGTTCCAGGAACACATAGTATATTGATTATGTCCTTTATTGTCCCTGCCCTGACCCCTGAAGAGCTATTGTCTGTGTTTTCTGTCTTCTCTCCCGTGTTTCCTATGACTGGATTTGGATTTTGTATGTTTGGACTGTTACAGAGGTGATGCTGTGTTCTCACTGACCTATCAGGTGGGCTCTCAGTGTCTTGTTCTTAAAGATGATCACCCTGGTCACCTGACCAAGGAGGGCTCACCAGGTCTCTACTGCACAGTCACTCTGTATACTTTACAATTTATACTTCATAGGAGGCTCTTTGAAATGAGTGTGTGTGCACGTGCACTAGCATGCATGTAGATGTCAGAAGACAACTTTCAGGAGCCAGATCTGACCTTCCGTCATGTAGAGTCTGAACTCAGATCATCAGGCTTGGAGCAAAGCATGTGCCTTTACCACTGGGCCATCTCACTGGCCCACCATCTGTTTTACTCAGTGGGTTTATGGTTTCCTCTTTTAGTCAATGAGTTATAATTGGCTACTGTGGTTGTTTATGTTCAAATTGTGCTAGACTTGGTTAGTGGGACTCTCTTCAGACTTGTTCTTATAGATTAGTGTATAAGAACTTGTTTCTGGCCCGGATGCTCCGGCTTGGACCTGTGTTTTCTTCCCTGCAGCTCTGACAGCAGCCATTCTTTCCAAGGAGCCTTGGTTGTTTCTGCTGGAGAGTGGTATTAGAAGCCTAGGTCTCTGTGCGGTCCATATACTGTTCGTATTGGGAAAAGGGACTCATGGTTAGGGACTGAGTATGTGGGCCACGTTATGTGTCTCCAGTTCTGCTCCGGCACTGAGATCTGCTTTATATTTGTGAGGAAGACTTTGGTGGCTTTTTGGTTTTTGAGTCAGGTTTTTACTGTGTAGCACAGGCTAGCCTGGGACTCAAGACAGTCCCACTACCTCAGCCTGTGTGCCCTAGAGTTCCAGCTGTGCACTGCCACGCCCAGCTGACCTTTGCTCTTTGGTCACTCCCCCTCTGCCACTAGCACTGGCACCTTCCTGTGTGGAGCCCTCAGCCCCATGGCGGACTGCTCCCCCTGCATGGCAGCCTTCCTCGTCTGCGGACTGTGACATCCTGAATGGATATCACCCACCCTTCATCCTGTTCAGGCTCTAACCCAACAGGCCATCCTGTTGGGGCTTGGTGGCATGGACTGTAATCCCAGCCACTTGGGAAGCTGGAGTAGGAGTCCAACCTGGACTAATAAGCAGTTCAAGGTAACTTAGTGACTTTATTTTAAAACCTTAAAAAGGAGGGGTGTGGCTCAGTGGTTGAGCACCCTCCTGGGTGTGTGACACCCTGGGTCCCATCCTCAGTACTGCAGATAGCAACAAGAAAACAGAAGCGGCAGGCCATTCTCTGCCATAACCAGTGGTCGTCTTTCATCTGTCTAGGGCCTGATACTCCCCCATCGTTTTCTGTCCCCCACATGTGGACACTGTTTCTACTTCTCTTGGGCCCCAGCTTGCTGCCCTAGGCTACTCCACTAGCAGCAGCAGCCGCTGCCGCCGCCACCACCACCACCGCCGCCGCCATCCCAGCTTCTCAGAGTGGCCGCCGCGTGAGTAGGGCTGCCGAAGCCTGGGTTTGTCTCTGATTGTCTTCCTGTCAATCTCACAGATCTACTTCGAGGATGAGGATGGAGCAGAACTGTACCAGGTGTCCCCCTGGAGCACTCTGCTGCAGGTGCTGCAGCACCCCAGGTGAGCACCTCCGTGGGATGATGGGGAAGTGCGCAGGCCCCTTCCCAGAGTCTAGTCAGCTCCTCCGCTCACTGATCCACAGCCAACGCAGAAGGCAGCCAGGCAGAAGGCATCGGCCAAGGAGGGTGAAGAACAATGGCAGCCCGGGCCGGGGGAAGTGAGTGGCCTGGTCTCAGAATGGAAAAGCTGCTTGGTTTTTGTAGCTGAAGGCAGCTGGGGTCGCTTCCATTTTCTGATTGCACTTGTCTCCCGACACTGTTACATGGAAAGAGCATTGCAGATAGCCCTTGGCTCCCTCCCTGTATGACCCTGAGCACACTCTGCCTCACTGGGCTTGCCCTTCACCTGTAGAATGGGCACATGTTTCTAGGGTACTTTTGAGTCAGGATGCAAAGAGAAGGCAGAGTGCCCTGTAGACATGGTGCAGCCTGCCGGGGGGAATGTCTTTGTGATCAGCAATGGCAGCAAGCAGGATTCCACAGCCGCCTCTCAGCAGCTTCTGTAGAATGCCCTGAGGGGGTTAACAAGTTCCCTCTTGGGGCCATTTTTCTCCAACTTGGAGCACAGTGAAGAAGAGTAAGGCGAAGGATTTCTGCACTTAGAATAGAAGCCATTTGTGCTGGGGTGAGGGGTCGTGGGTGTGGTAAGCAGAGAGGCCGGAGAGCGGAGTTAGCACCGTTCATGGAGCATGGACTGGACTGTCCCACTGAGGAACACAGGCTTTATCCTGGATGGTGAATGGACTTGCCGAGGTGAGTTCAGGAAGGTGTACAGATTTGAATTGTCCTGTTGGGTGCTGAGGCCCAAGGTGGGAGAGGCTGGATGGGAGGGAGGCTCAGGACAGATGGGGGGATTCAAACATGGCATCCTCCAGGAAGCCCTTCCCGTTTCCCTCCCTGTAGAGGGGATTGTGCCTTCTTGGCTAAGGATGTATCTCACACATCTTTTTATAGCCCTTCCTCCAGGACTAAGCTTGGGAGCAAGAACATGTTTTTGTTGTTGTTGTTTTTTCGAGACGGTTTCTCTGTGCAGCTTTGCGCCTTTCCTGGAACTCGCTTTGGAGACCAGGCTGGCCTCGAACTCACAAAGATCCGCCTTCCTCTGCCTCCCGAGTGCTGGGATTAAAGGCGTGCGCCACCACCGCCTGGCCTTTTTTTTTTTAAGCATGTCTTTTAACATTTAAGGAGGAGGGGGAGGGGCGGGGGGCTCGGGGGCTGCACCCACGCCATGGCATGTGCAGTGTGCAGGTCAGAGGACACCTTGTGGATGTTGGCTCTCTCTTCCACTATTTGAGTCCCAGTAGGGCACAGCAGCCACGTGCCTTTATCCACTGAACCATCTTACCGGTCCATGTGGTTACACTTTAATCTTGTTTCTTAACACAGGGCCTTGTTACTAAACCTGGAGTCATAGTCTATACCTCAAGAAGCCAGGCTTGGCCATTCACTCTCAAGAAACAAATTCAAAGAGCAAAAGTAATAGTTTTGTTTGTTTTTTAAGAGGGGGCGTTATTAATTCAGTGTGGCCACAATGGGAACAGATGGCCAAGCCTGGCTTGTTGGGGTATAGACTGTAGCCTCAAGTTAGTAAGAACCCGGCTTACCCAGTACTCACAGAACAGGGAGTGAATGAACTGATAACTTGTTTTGTGGTCTTCTTTCATGTTTAGTCCCATGTGTGCCTGATGCCAGAGGGCCGACCTAGAGTTGTGGCTCACTTTTAAGGGGAGACTTATGCTGTCCCCAGACTTACGAACAACCAGACAAAGAAATGTGCTAAGTTGTATTTTAATGTTTTATATGCATCCGAAGGTTCACCTTGAGTGTGGTTGGGAAGGTGCATGGATAATGGAGCGGATAATCCAGTTAACCACTCTGTCATGCTCCCTGCAGGTACTTGGTGAAGGCCCTTACACCAACATTCGTGGTCTGTGTAGGATCCTCTCCTTTCTCTGAGAATTATCTTCAGGGGAAAAGGGTACACAGGTAAAGTGGGAGCCAGACCCTGGGGTTTCCTCCCTTAACTTCCTCTGTCTGGAGTCTACATACTTGGATCAGACAGACCTGGAGTCCAGCATTTATTTCTCTGTCCCCAGGGACAGTGGTTGCTAACCTCATGCTGGGGACAAGCTGCTGGCCTCCCTGAAGCTCCGCCTGTCTGACTGAGTGCCGAGTTCCAGCTGGGCCTCCCCCTCCTCAGATTCACAGCTCTGTCTTGGTCAGAACAGCCTTGGAGTCCATGGCTGAAGGAGCATCTGCTGCAGTTGCCCGACAAGCTGGCCTTGGTGACTCCCTGGCCTGTAGATTGTGTCAGGGCACAGCAACAGTCTTAACCTTTGTGGCATCGGGCATGTACAGAAGGCTCCTCCAAGGCAGTAACTAGCCCTGCATAGTATTCTACGGTTGTAGGGCTGAGACTGAGCCTGGCTCTCCACCAGAATCGGGGAGAGCTATGAGGGATGCTGTGGATACCATGAGGTGAATGGAGCCATGAAGCCACATCCTGTTTCTGCGTTAATGACTGTACAGACCGTAATCCTCGGGACCAGTTCCTCTGCCCTCCCAGTGTGAGAACTGCAACAGACCAGACAGTAGCTCCCGAGTGCTTTCCCGATTCCTCAGCTCCAGTCACGCTCCTGCCTCAGCAGAAGAATGCTGGGTTAGGGTGTGCACCACTGTATCTGGCTAGTAGTCCTTTTGATCTGGAAAGTCGTGATCTGTCGATAGTTTTTTTTTTTTTTTTCTTGTGCTGTTCATCCTAGAGACTTTGTGTACTCTTCCCTGCAGCTGAGTGGCTTCCTGCAATGCCCCCCTATCTCCCAAGGGGAGAAGGGCTGTGAGCAGATGTGACTCATGCCACATCTGACAGAAGCGGGAGGAGCCAGTGGGCAGTGGGTTGCAAGTAGTCTGGTGTTCTTTTCCCTCTGCCGTGAGGCCCCGTTTCTTAAGTAGGAACATCCCCTTCAGCCTGCGTGTCTCAAAGCAGCTGGCCTAAAGCCGCTGATTGTAGTCAAGTGAAAGGCAAATGTTTTTTTGTAGTAAACACTGAGATTTGGGGGGGTTGCATGTTACTACAGCAAAACTGACTAATAAATACATCATTAAACTGAGACCAGCTGGTGTCCTTCCAATGGGTCAGTTCGGGGTCTTGTGTTGTATGCATCCTTGTTTCTGGAAGAGAAATTGTCTGGAATATTTAGGGAGACCAATGCAGCTTTCTTTCCCAGGGCAGGTCCCTGCAAATCCAGCTTCTTTTCTCCTCTAGTTTTGGAAACTCTGCAGACATTCTCTCCTTACTAAACTGACTTCCTTTGTAAGAACTCAGAAGTCATGTGAGGGGCCTAACAGTTGGGGACAGTCTGGCAGCCATTGCAGGATCCTAGGAGCAGCCATCTGCTCCACGTCACTGTCGTGGGCAAAGCACATTCCTGTGTCTTTCTGCTGTCTAATAGGGATATGCCCCGGCCCTTTCCTTAGGCTTGTGAGGCTGGGGTGAGGCAATGGATGAGAACAGGTGCAAACTGAAATGCACCTGGCAGATGTTCTGGAACCTTCCATCATCAGACCCTGCCCTTCCCATCAGCCAGCCCCTGCTGTGGCTCTCTCAGTCCTTGACCTTCTGGAATCATCAGCTTGGATGCCATGGGGAGGGGAATGTCTCAGTTACCTTTCTGTTGCTGTGGTAAGACACTATGACCAACCCAACTTAGAAGAGTTTCCTGGGGCCTTACAGTTCCGGTGGGTTAGTTAGAGTCCAAGCCCCTCATGGTGGCATCACGGAGGCAGGAGGGCAGGTATGGCGCTGGAGCAGTAGGGAGAGCCCGCATCTTGAGACAACAAGAAGGCAGAGAAAGCTAACTGGGAATGGCCATCTCCAGTGACATCTCCTTCCACAGCCGCATCTCCTGATCCTCCCCAAACAGATTCGCCAACTAGGGGCCAAGCATTCAGATAGCTGAGCCTGCGTGGCCATTCTCAGTGGAACTGCCACAGGGAGAACGGGCACCAGGAGCTGCACTGTCACACCAAGGCCAGGTCTGCTTTGGCCACCGCACCCATCCTGCGGAATACAGCAGGAGACTCAAACCTTACCTGCCTGTTTGGCTTTTTGTTTTGGTGTGTGTGCATGCGCGTGTGCCTGTACACACACACACACACACACACACACACACACACACACACACACACACACACACACAGAGGCATGTGGGGGTGGCGTTGGGAGATAGGGACAGGAGACCCACGGAGGTAAGGTGAAGGTAAGGCTGAGGCACATGCTCCCACATCTGCTCCCGGACTCCGACTCTAAGGGAGAACCTTTTCCTGACTCGTCCCTGGGACTCCCCTGGCAGAAACCCTCAGCATGCAGCGTGCTTGCTGTCTTCCCAGACAGGGTGGAGGAAGGCCTCCCTGGGTATGTCTGGGTGCCTCCGTGGATGCGGGACATCTAGAGAAATGGAGAGGGAGGAAGTCCCCCAACACTGCTGGCAGGCACAGACGCTGGCCATGGAGACCTCTACAAATGCATTCCGGCTCTAACTGCACTGGATTCTCTTAACCCTGATAGCCACTGCTAGAGCCCGTGATGTCGGTATGGAGAAGGAAGCGTCAGAGCTGTGATCTGAACCCACACCTGCCCCAGCACCTTCCTCTCCTGCGTTCTCACGTTTCCCTGCTGTACAAGCATTTGTCCTGTGCCCAGGCTAGCAGAGCATTAGGGCTGGAGGGCGCCAGGCAGCCTCTGACTTAGGGTCATGCCGTTCAGTGGATGTAGTAAATCGGCCCCTGGCAACTCCTTCAAGGAAGACAAGTAGACACTACTTGTCTGCCTCCTTAGCCGAGCCCTCCGAGGCTCCTGCTGCCCCCCCCCCACACCCCCCAGCACACTGGCGAGGCATGCAAGGCCCTCTGGGATCTCCGCCCTCATCTCTGTGCACTGGCTGTCTTCTCTGCGTCTCCAGAGCCTGCTTATCCTGATGACAGCGCAGCCGTGCAGCAGGGGGTGCAGCAGCCGAAGGTCTGCTCTGGAGCCGAAGGTCTGCTCTGGAGCCGAAGGTCTGCTCTGGAGCCGAAGGTCTCTGCTCTGGAGCCGAAGGTCTCTGCTCTGGAGCCGAAGGTCTCTGCTCTGGAGCCGAAGGTCTCTGCTCTGGA